ATTTCCTTGTCTTTTTCGGATACTTTCGGAACTACATAGTTATTTAAAAGCTCTAAACTATCTTGTTCAGTTTTAATATTGCTTCTTTATCATATTTGTTATCACTTATCTTTCGATCAATATATTTTCTGTCGTTTGATGTTTTACTGGTTTTACTTTGAAAACGTTTGTGGGCTTCCTGTGCCTTCTAGTTCCTGTCCGGCATCATATCGTTTAGCACGCGTTTTTGTCTATATCAATTTTATTAGTATCAGAAAGGAGTCAGAGAAATGATCAAAAGTATATTCTGTCTTTCTATAGGTGTGTGTAGTTGGGTGCTAATCGTCTCTTTTGGCAGCACGGGTGCTGAATTGCGAAAGACCTTGAAAGACGCAACTCGACGCGCTCTCATTACAGGCACATTTTAAATACACTTACACATAGGCGTACTGCCGGCTAGACGCTTCCTTTAAATAGCAACGTCGACTGAACGCGGGCGGAGAGCATGTTTAACTCGCAGGATTTCAAGCCATTTTGCAATGTTGACAATCTCACAAGTAAATGTGGCGCTCTCTCTTCTTAAAATGATTTTGTTCATGGCAAACGTTTTTATGTTCAAAACCGGCTTATATTTCTTTTAGTTAGGAAATCTTTATTTTCCTGGCAAAAATTCTTAGAACAGTTAGAACATGTGTTAGAAAGTATTCCTTGCCTGGGAAGTTCTTTTTCCTGGATGGTACCCGTCAACTCCTCCAGTGATAACGGGAGAGAAAGAATAGTCGCCAAGAACTGAAAATGCATTTAAGAAAGAAAAAAAAGGAAAATCACCGAGTAAAAAGTTAAGAAAGTAATTTAAAAAAAGAAAGAAAATAGCAAAAATACGGATGATTTATAAATGTCCAGAATGCTTAGCGGTCGCAGGGTCGTATCGCGGGCTCAAGTAAGTCCTTGTAGCTTGGAAGCACAAGCAAAGCGATTTGATTTTTTTTAATCGTTTTTACTCTCTTTTTTACCTTTTTAAAGCAAWTCTCAAAGCTTTAAAATGTCTCTTTATTCATGCACATACTGCCAYAGTCGACATCCATTTGAGGAACTCTCGAAAGGTGATCAAATGTGCAAGGTTGGTGAAACCGTATTCTCGAACTAGTCAATATCATAACGAAGCCACAATCACAGCTATTCGATTGATAATTTACAAGCGCTACAAAAAGGCTTCTCTCTGTTTGCTCAGTGGCTGTATATCTTATGTAATTTACATATACTTAGAGACAGTTTTATTTAAAAATCAGTTTAACGTGTAATATTCTGTTGAATTTTAAGCTCACATATGATTTGGAATTAATAGCTTTGGCTTGCTGTCAGCTTGAATTCGACATTTAGCTTACGATTTTATTTTAAATCACTTCAATTCCAAATTTCTAAAAGCGGAAATTTAATTCAAATAGATACAATGACTTTTTCTGAAAGTTTTTAGCGCAAGTAACTTTTCCGCGATCATTTTATTAACCCCTAATCTGATTTTGACAAGTCTAATTGACGTGAACTAAATAAGGTCGTATTTTGACATATTCTTGACATTGTCGTACAAATTGTTTTCAGTGTTATCCAGCTGTTCGGCTGTGAACAGCTGACTTTCTTCTAGCTTCTTCTTAATTGAAAATAACAGCTAATCTCTTATTTTTTAAGCCAAATTTTAGGCTTTTCTCTTGAGTAAATTTCTTGGTGTGTTTGTTTATGTCTTCTCTGCAATTTTAGATGACTTTATAAAAGCATTCACAAGTAAATTCTTTTGTTTAATAATCCAAAATGTCAGCAATGACAATGTTCCATTTTTCTGGTTTGGGTTTCCTATGTTGTGCACAGGGAGCCCAAAGAGATAAAAAACTAAAAACTGTTGAGTCCATATATGGTAATACCATAAGAAGTAAATTACTTCAATCTTTTCAATATTGAAATCAGTTATTTACTGCATAATTATATATTAAAATCAAATCAGCAATCATTGTCTTCAGATCATAGTTGCTTAAAGGGACACTGTCAATGGATGACATGCGCGAGTAAACTTGAAAACACTAGGCTAGTGTTTTCAAGTTTATGACTCCAAGTTGGCGCGACATAAATCAGATCGTAAACGTAAACAGATCTAGAATATTCCAAAGTGTGTCAAAAGCACCACAAAATGATTTACCTCGAATGTTATACTTTCAAAGTCCATTAGAGGTGACACTGTTACTGCGCATGTCATCCATTGACAGTGTCCCTTTAAGCTCAACTCATGAGTTTTCTACAATCATTAATTTTTTTTCAGAAATGCCGGAAGGAACATCCCCTAGTTACGTGTACTTACTGTCGTATGGAGTTCCACTTAGTTGGGTTAGTACACATATTATTTTTTCCACTGTGTTAATTCAAGCAACAAATAGAGGATATTACATGGGCGYGCAGAGATTTGGATTTTATCTTCAGTTGTTGAAAAGATCTCACGAGTGAGCTTAGGGAACGAGTGAGAGATTTTCAACATCAGAAGATAAAATTTGTATCTCCAAGTGACCATGTAATATTCTGTTTATCATATAACTACATATGAAAGCTAATTATGTCGTAAAATACCTTTTTTCTTACTTCCAATATATAAAGAAATCTTGAATGTGTTATTTTCACTAGTGAAACAACTTTACGAAATGGAGAAATATAGGTATTTCGTACTAGATAACTATATGATAATAAACAATTAGCCCACTTTTAATATTCTGATTAAATGGTCATTCACAAAAGAGAAAGCTCTAGGAAAACAAAGGAAGTTTCTAGTGCTTCCCTTGAGCCTCATCTTCAGTTCTTTTAGGCATGGTTAGCTCAAAGAAATGCTCATGAGATGAGTTTTATTTAAAACATCAAACGTCCTTGTTTTTCAGTGGTAACGAACAAGGAAAACCTGTGTGTAAAAAGTGTAATGGTCACGTCTTGAAATATGGACAACCAGCATGCTGTGTTCATTGTAATATCAGGGCTGCTTTTAATGGGAGTAAATGYTCCAGGTAAACTTTAAAACTCTAGTAAGTTATGATAGGTTATTAGCCTCCTGATTTTTTTATCTACTTGGTYTTCGTGTGTTGATTTATCCTGGCCGAGAAAAACTGTTGCTGAGAGATTAGGAACAACAAATAGGCATTTCCTTTCTTCCCCTCACCCTTTCCCTCCCCCTCCCATCATCTGGACGATTTTCTACCTTAACACAGGAATCCCGCAGAATAGAGTTGCCTGAGAAAGAGGCTAGATAGTTTACATGTATTATCACTTTTTAATATGCTACTTTAAGCTTTAAAATCTAATAATCATCTTTGATATTGCTGCAATTTTACATCATTTTCAGGATTTTCATWTTGTTGTTGACAGATGTGAAAGTTCGGAACGGAAATATGGTCCTCCWATACAGTGTGAGCAGTGCAAGCTCAAGTGTGCWTTCAAAAAATCTGACGAATCTAAAGATAAGGTACAGATCTAATCACAGGMATCCCATCTATAAATTCACATTAARTGATGGGTTTCCTGTGCTATATTTAGTATAGGCATTTGCAAAAGCTCTGATTGTGAACATTATTACWTCTCATTATATCTTGTGCATCATGGGTAATATTTTTTCACTAATAAAGATTGCAGATCAACAAAACTCTTTGGAATTATTCTTATTCAGTGTGATTCAATGACAAGTTATTATAAACGAAAAAATATAATATACTTTGAAATATCAGCTATCCTACATATTGAAATATATTGAATTTTGTGGACAGAATATTTTTAAATGACTGTGTTAGCCAGAGTATTGTATTATTGGTTTAGTATCAATAAAAGTACAGTATTACTCAGGGTTCTTTGATTCTCAGGTTGATGGTAAGATACTGTGCCTATTGTGCACTCTAGCTTACAAGCGACTAGTACATAGATCAAAGGGTGTTAAGGAATTACTAAGAGGTCAATCACACAGTCACAAGAAAGGAACCAAGAGAGAAGGGTAAGCACTCCAAGAGACAGATTCAGATTCAGATTTTATTATAACTTTGTAATATTTGACAAAAACACATATAACCTGCATATAGCAAAATGGCTAGTCTAGGCAGGTTAGATGTTAGAAGAACTTAAAAATATTTTACAGTTGAGCAATGACAATAGAAGAGTATGAGGAAAATATATACTTGACATATTAATATATCATATTAATATTAATATTAATAAAACTACTGATGGAAACTGCTGTAGCAGTATTAACTAGTGCAAGCTTCATCTGTGTTTCTAAAAAAAACATTGTGAAGTAAGACTCTGACAAACTCTGATGAAGGAGTCTCAAGAATGGAAGATACATGCAAGGCTCAAAATCTTGAGACAGYCAGATTATTTGGGAGAGTTGACTGTAAAGCCATTGATRGTTTCAAGAMAATCWTTCTCATGGTGGAMTATTTGTACAAGGGTTTAYCAAACTATTGATTCCAGAGCCAAGCTTGACCATTTAGTGCAATCCAGTTTTTATATTACACAGCCACATACACTTGACTGCAATYAAATATGKTCTCAGATCAAAGTGGTTTTGATGTACATCCGTTGCAACAAATGGATTGGAAGTAAACGTGCGTTATTTTTTTTATTTTTATTTAAAGGCATCATCACCATCGCCATCATCACAAACATGAGAAGAAAGCCAAGACAGATCTGGTTGAGTCAAGCGGTGCGAGGGATAGTCCTGGTCTTGGTCTTAAAAATACAAACTCTGTCAACAGGTACAAAACCCCCACACTCACAAAAGTCCCTACACTCTCACAGCTCACACTGCAATCCAACATTTATCTTCCTAAAAACAAAAAATTAACATAATGTTTATTTGGTTGCTATAGTGATGCAGGTACAGAGCATAACTTATCGGAACATATGGCAGAGCTGACTGATGTCAAAGAAATGGTGGGTTATTTTGTTTGTTTGTTTGTTGTTGTTGTAGTTGTTTTTTTTTTTCAAATTAATATGACTGGCGGTAACTACTTTATTGTGCAATTTAATAATAATTGAATTTTAAATTCAAGAAGAGGTCATGAATGAAATCTTATTTAAAACAGCTGCAAAAAACTGAGAAATATTGTAAATGTAATTACTAATGAAATAACAACTTACCCTGCAAGCAGRGTGTATTTCCTTGAGGTAAGGAAATACACTCTGCTTGCAGGGTAATAACAACTACAACTGCAAGTGGTTAATTCATGTATCTCTGGGACAAGATTTAGTCAAAGCTTACTGAAGTACTTGTAATTTGTGATTCTTTTGTTCTTTTGTTGAATGATGTGTWTTTTTGGCTGAAGGAGGGCTTCAGAYCCCCTTGCCACACCCTGGAACCACACTTGCCTGTTATATGCATAGCCCTTGATGTAAGTTGAGTGTAATTAGACTGATAAACTACATATCATTTTATAACTTAGGTTGTCAAACTGAAGAAACAACTTCAGCAAAAAGACCAAGCTTTGATTGAAAAAGAGAAAAAAGTATGTAACTATCAATTCACTCTATTTATAATAATGTATACAGTAGATTTTTCATTGATTGTAATTGAGAATTGTAAAGTGATTGTTATTATTAATGCTAGTAAAACTTACTCTAGATAACTGAAATAAAAGCTGAAAATTGGGAGAAAGAAAAAGAATTTAAGAAGAAGCTTAGCTCTTTGCAAAAAGAACTGAATGATCGACTTGAAATCCTACAGGTAAATCTAAGTGAGATAAATAATAAAACTTCAGTCTTTTTCCTTACATGATTAAGCCAGAAAGTAACATAACTTGCTCATAAAAAATCTCCTTTCAGCTCAGTATTTGTAAGTCATGTGTTGTCGATATAATTAATGCTTTTACTTTGTTGTTTGTTTTAGACTGAAAACAGAAACCTTAAAAAACARCTAAGTCAACARCAAGTACAGCAAGTGAARAAAGAAAAGACAGCAACAAGCTGACAAGATTTGCAGTKGTTTTCAGTCAGTTTATGTGATATAAATGTAAATTGTACATTGTAGTTAACTATTATTTAGTATCCATACATGTAATTGAAAAACACTTCCAAGTTCTCTGACTCATCTTGAATTTCACTTGTGAATCTTATGGTCTATGTAAGGCCATAATGTGTGTCAGAGGAGTAGAATAAGACACAGCTTYGCCTTTCAAGGTGCCAGAAAGAACTGTGAACTGCTATGATATTACAGCTTGTTAATAACTGCTAGGGAATTTGCTGGGTTTTCTGACAATAACATTTTTATATCTTAGTTTGTTAAATTTCCAAATAGATTTTCTCATTGATCATTTTTTTATTGGTTTATTTGCTTACATTCTTGTTTTGATATTAGTAAATATTTACATCTCAAATAATTTCCYATACCCTTCTAAGCTGGTAACATTTCACTTTACCCTATTGGGTTTCCTGTGGAAGATTGACCTGCAGAGGGGACTGATAACTACCAGATGATAAATTTTGATAGGCACTCATTTGCTCAATTTTATTGCTACAAATTTTTCATTATAAGTTTTTAGGCTTTGGTTGGACGTCTGTCRTGTTGTTAAATGTATATTCAATAATAACCATCTGCATAATAATTCTAGACTTCTTCACACTTAGCTTTTTAAAATATGTTAAATTTTTATGGTTTGACTTAAACCCCATTCAAAACTTGATTTCGATTAATCTGCCATTTTGTTTAGATTTTTTGAATGCTGAACCAAAAATAAAGATGGTCATGCACAAACCATATTGTTATTTCTTAGTCATAAAAATATAGCATGGGAGTTTTCCCATTTTTCTGAAAGAGTGGTGCCCAGGACTGGCCTATGGTATCCCCTGGCCTCATGGGACAGTCCCAAGATCTCCAATATACCAGTGCATACACCATAGTTTACTAATGTCTCTCCCATCCCCAAGTCCCCTTAGGGACTGTCTGGGACATCCCCTAAGTGTCCCCTGTCCACTGGACATGTGTGTCCTGAAAAAAAGAAGATTTTATGTTTAATTGTTGAGAGCAGAAGATATGGCCCACAATCTTGAGACTCCAAGATGTACCATGCCTGAATTAACCACACTGTTCTAAATACTTAGCCTGCATAGTGATGATAAGGGTACTTTCATCCTCCCTATTTTCTGCCTGACCCTCACAAAATCCATTAGCGACACTACACTGAATTCTTTGAATAGCAGCCTGAGTGTAACTTACAAAACCATGTGGCCACCTAAAAATACCTTTAGAATCACGATTTATTGTCAAGTGCATTATTATTTTCAGGTGGTATTTTTTTGAAACTTGATCAAACAATTACATTACAATTAACTGCAATGACATGTACTCCCCAGAATCTTTGCACAATTTTCTGACATAAGAGAATTATCCTTTTATTGCATGATTTTCAATCAAAAAACAATGTTCGATCTACACATAAGCTGTGATTGATGTGGTAGATATATATATTACGCAGTGAGAGCTAATAAGGGGGTGCATCTCATAGGAAAATAAGTTAACAAACCAAGATTTTCTGTTTAGTTTTTTTCCAATACTCCAGTTTCAAGATCTTATTTGTGCAGTCTTAACCTTGAAAGCATGTAATTATATATATTATTTATTAGACAGAGATTCTATTGTAATGCAAACACTCTGTGTACAAAGAACACAATAAAAATTTATGCTTGATTGAAGCTAAGCTTACACAAAAGAGAATTTGAAACTGGAGTATTAACTTAAACATTTAAGAGTATTATTTTTTTATTTTTGTAAATTTATCAAATATGTTTCATTGATAACTTGTAACACTGACTATTCTATGAAATAAATGCTATTAAGGTGTTGTTGTTCAGTTAGCAAATCTAGAAAGAATTAAGTGTTGGTTCAGGGGCTGGGGGGGGAACTGGCTGCCACACAAAATATATATATATTTTTTGGGGGGGGGGGCTGGCTCCCCCACATGATTGCTTGAAATAATCAATAATTCAATTTTTTGTGGTGAAATATTTGCAAAAGTTCATGTTCTATGAAGTCGATTAACCTGCATGGTTAGGCACAACAATCTGTTAACGTTACCAGGTGTTCTTGATGGGGTTTGGTGGTCTTCCTGTGTYTGGTGCTGCTGCAGAGGCTGGCCAGTTGGAGGTGACTTGAGATGTGGTCAAATGACGAAATGAATGGATAACGAAAAAAAAGAGAAAAAAATAACTAACTTAGAATAAAGAATAATTAACAAAAGATGATGAAATAGCTAAAAGGAAAAACAGGAGGAAATTAGAAAAGAAATCTATTAAAAGAAATTTAAAACAAAAAAACGACGAGCAAAAAGATTCATGAAATTGATCATACAAAAAAGAAAGCTTGATAAATTATAAAACAGGAAATGTCCTGATAATGAAGTATGAAATCATCAAGAAAAAGCTTTCACATTTTAAAACTATCAAGCACGTGTATTTATAGACATCCAGGGCGTGTAATCACAGGTACCGAGTAMCCATAGAAACGCTGAATCTTTTACGTCATCAACCCGTGGGAAAACYCCACYATGGGGTCCCCTCGTGATAAATTTCTGGATGCACTGGTCTGTCTCARTAAGACTTGCTTCAACAAGTAAGAAACCATRAATTAGGTACAAAGCGACAACGCGTGGACCAGAATCATGCCAAATTTTTGACGAAGTTACGTGGGCGTATAATCACTATAAATTACATCATAATCACTTGACAAACTCAACAACTCAACACGTATTGAATTTTCATTCCGCATATTTTGAGTGATAATATCCATATTTCCGCGAATGATTTCTTAAGTCACTTATTAACCAATGAAACTTAGAGGAATTTGATATTTTTTCAGCCACGGTCCGCAACTCCCTATGACGTCATAATAAGTTGCTTTTCTACCGGAAGTGGTCATTTGTATGTGTAATCCCCATTGCTGAGTAACGCCACAGAAGCTTCGAATCGTTCACGTAGACATCAGTAGTGTGGTTTATTTGAAGATTTCGTTGATTAAGTAGAGTTTTATTTTATAGTTTTTATTTAAAGAAGATATCTCAGGAAACTTACACAGTTAGGATGGTCAATATGGTAAGTTTATGGTACTGTTAATGTCGATTGTAGTGTAGTGTGTCAGCAGGCACTATTCAATCATTCTATTATGTAATTATAGAACGAGGCGATATTTCTCTGGCTTTTTTTYCTCCTGGGACTATTGTTCGTTTTTACTTCAATTTTTTGTGCATAGGTCGTTTCAGAATATTTTTGTTGGTATTTCTTGACAATAAATTGTAAACAAGCTATGCCGAAATTTTCACAAAAACGAATGAGCCTTACTTTTGATATTTTTTGTTACAATAATAAAGATGAGTCGAAATATCATGCGTCTTTTATTACATTCGATGGTGAATATTGCTCGTCATTCATATTTCTCGTGACTGGATGTTTATATTTCGTGATGAAGGCTTTATTTCGAAACACATGAGTTGGAGAAACATAGACACGTTACATGTAAATGTTTCGTGTTTAGACGAGTGACGGTGTCCCCTGTCATTTCTATTTTTAAACATGGTTTACCAACGGTGTGGTCTTAAAATTTTATATGAAATTCTTGTCATACTAAAGCAAATGTTTTGTTTTGATAAAAAATTAATGCATTGCCTGACACCGAGAAAGTGGAAGGTTTGAGGTTACTTCCGTTTCCGGTAGTTCTATATTCGTGTAGGGGACCCGTTCGTTCGAGTGCTCTCGAGGCGTGGTATATCTCTTGCCGCCTCGCTCTCAGCTCACTCTCAMCTCACTGTCATCCTACGCGCTGCAAAACTTACTTCGGTATCAAGTTTGTTGAGGAAAGTTTGAACGGGATTGCCAAATGCCACTCGCATTGCAAGATCCGTGGCAAAAGCTCCACATAGCTGAAGATTTAGAGGTTCGTAAGAAAATGATTTGATACGAGCATTCGGTAGAATTTCAAAATTCCTTCGCTTCTCGTAGTAAAATCCCTTTGATTTTACCTCGAAATTTATGCAGAATTTGCCACGTTATCTTATAGTCCCAGGATGAAGAAATGTCGGAGGAAAATCGCAATGGGGTAACTATTCGACTATTCGGATTGTTTTGAATTTTAAGCTGAAATATCTCATGACTATCAAAATTTTTGTTTCCTTTGCAGCCCGATGATGAAGCCTCGATCATCGACATTAGTAGAGAATTGAAGAATTCCAAAGGTATTTTAAAGTCGAACCCCTCGGAGTTTGAACTATTGAAAGTTCTAGGACAAGGCTCCTTTGGAAAGGTGAGTGTTTCCTTGAGATTTGACTCGATAAAACCGTACGAACCGTGGCGCGAAAGAGTAAAGCTTAACTTATATCTCACATTATTCGAGTACTCGTAATCTGCCCACTTCAGGCACGATACAAATAGAAAGACGCTACAATAAACTCCTAAATGTTGAAGTTTGTTATCTTTGGTGACCAAAATATGAAAATTTGACATGTTAAATTAATGTCTTTCATTATGTTAACTCGATAATTTTGAAAATGTTGTTTTCGAATAGGTTTTTCTTGTACGAAAGTTCGTCGGGGCTGACGCAGGAACGTTGTACGCAATGAAAGTACTCAAAAAGGCCACTCTTAAAGGTAATTTTACAGATGTAACCATACAATATATTCCAAACTCACTGATAAATTACCGAGAACGTGATAAAGCTAAATAGKTTATTCAAAAGGGTTTTATAATAAAGCAAACGTTTGAACCTTATACGTCGTATATTTGCTGCAGTTGCATTTTAGGACTTGGGGATACCTGCTCAAAGAACGACCGAAATATAGAAAAAAATATTCCTTTTTGCTCAATTYCCTCAAGGTTTTATAGYTAATTAAATTTTACTCTTTTTATGATTAAATTTAGGTCGTTGGAAGTATTTTTGGGTTGATATCTTTGGSTAGTTTTGTACTCTGAAAACTATAGTGGTCATTGATTTCCGCTTCGCGCGACTCCCAAAATTCATTGTTATTGATTGTTTTCGACGTCTTTCATTTCTTTCAGTGCGGGATCGTGTAAGAACTAAGAAGGAAAGAGATATCTTGGTAGATGTGCAGCATCCATTTATCGTCCGTCTACATTACGGTAAGTGACTGATCGTATTTTGGAAATGAAATTTGAGTAAGATCAAATTGGATTGTTTACAACTTGCTGTTGTTCGATTGTCATCCGCCAAATCAGAAGCGAGAATATTTCAAAACAAAAACCGAATTATGGCATTATTGTTGAAGTTAATCTCTTTAGCTAAAGCAATGTTAATGATTTTATGTACAGTTTGCAATCCCATCATAATTGTCCCATATGTGTGAGAACATTCTCAATGTATTGTTCTTTTGTGAAGAGAGAATTTTTGAAGTCAATTTCGATGGAGAAAAAAGCAGATCACATTTTCACAGCTGTTGAAAAAAATACAGGATTTTTGAGTGTCATCTATGGATCTTTTGATAAATTGACAGCTAAGTATTTACATTTAAAGCATCTTGTCTACATAATATTATAAAAGGTTGTAATACTTCAGTTGGGAAAAACTTGTATCGAAAGCATTTTATAAATAGCTCAGATTTATAATTATSGTTATGTTAATATCTATGTGGATACGTCTTATTAATAATATTATTACTTATTATTTTATTTCAATGCCTATGCTTGTCAATATACTTCATTTATSTATATCTTGAAATTGGAGTGCAATAATTTTTCACGTTTCAATGCAGATATCTCACTTTTTGAAAGAATTTCTTGGTATTCTGACATCACTGTGTGGGCACTGTCATCTTCAGTGGTGAAGTGCTGAGACTGTTTTMAATAGAATATTTCACTAACATAGCAATGTGAAAATGAGTAATTATCCCTAATGTAAATAAGACTGGAAAGACCATATCTATCCCTGACACTCTAATATCTCACCATATCCCAGTATAAAGCACACCTGTTTGATATACGATGTAAAAGTGGTGATATGATAAAATGCTGATTTGCGTAGGCTGCGTTTGGTCAGTCCTTCAAATTCTTGCTTTTCTTCATTTGTTCTGCATGACTCTGAAACAGTTTTTACCATATGGTTTTTTGACTCAGTCAGTAACCTCAGACTAGAATATTTACTGGTGTTGATCATGATCACTTTAGTGCAAGCTGGTGTTGTTTTTTATCAAAGCTGTTTTAATGACACAGTSGAACTGCGAATGGCTCTCTGTTTAGCAGTCACCTCCTTTTAAGTAGTATCTCATAAATTTGAGAAAATCAGATTCATATTCTCTTAATATATGTTGTAAATGTGATCTTTATTAAACGGTCAACCTCTATAAAGCAGTCACCTGATGTTTTCTCAAATTGCTGGCTTGTAGCACTGTACTCTAAAAATATGTCTAGCTAGAAAGCTTTAGTGACTTTTCTGACATTAGTCCTTTGTTAGCGATGTCAATGCCTTTATTCTGACAATTAATTCACTTTGTCTGAATCATAATAAAGATTGAATTATCRCACACATTCATTAGTCATTATAGCTCTTATTTATACGAAAAACCTTATTTTTTTATTAAATTTTCAGCTTTTCAAACAGAAGGGAAGGTTTACCTTATACTGGATTTTCTCCGTGGAGGAGACTTGTTTACAAGACTCTCCAAAGAGGTATGCTTTATGTGTAAAATTAGATTCTTTGTGGTGGCTTGAAAACTGGGTGAAATTTGATTTTGATGATGTGGGTGAAAATTTGAATTGCTTCTTTAGGTGGTGTTCTTTGGACTGTCAATTGCAGTTTAGTGCTAGAGGCAATTCAAAACAATCAACAAAAAATTGGATCTTGCCTTTTATTATTCAAAACAGTCTTAAATAAAACAATTATATTCTCCATATTGGGACCACATGGTGTGAGCAAGTGAACACCACTTCATGTCATCTTCACTTTCCACTAGTAATTTAGGTTTTTATTAACCACCAAGCTTAAGTCATCCTCATGTCTAATTGTGTCGTATTTAATATTTTATTGAGATATTGTTATAATGTTAGGATACGACGACAATTGCCTTGATTAACACTGAGGAATTCTCATAATTTTTAAGCTCCGTCGAATAATATTGACAATACATGCTCATTCACTTTAGCATATTAAACCGTCTCTATTGTGATCTTTTCCGCGCTTGTGCTTATACTTTATTCAAATCATGCATGCTTCTCTGTTATACMATTAAAAATCTAATTCCCTGGGCTTCTTGTGTAAGAAATGGCCTTTAGTTTAAGGAATAGAACTAGGGTGTTTAAAAAAAAGTCTAAAAAAGGATGAGCTCTTATTCTTCCTTGTCACTATACATCACAGTGGACATCTTGGAGGAACTTAAACAAAGGATTCCTCAGTAGTATCCATTGTTCATYCCTCAAAAACAGGCACCCGTCTTTTTTTTTAAATCTTATGGGAATGGTTGAAAATGATCAATTGAATAATCTGAGAATTTTGAATATTGGAATATTTTTTTCAGATTATGTTCACTGAAGAAGATGTAAAGTTTTATTTGGCTGAGTTGGCTCTTGCTTTGGATCACCTTCATAAAATAGGCATTATTTATAGAGATTTGAAACCAGAAAAGTATGTACATGTACATTATTATATTATTTAATCAATCTCTCATCGGTATTGTCTAAACAAGCATTGCGGCAGTTATATTGACTGCTGTCAATCAACTACTATATATTTGCTGTTAAAAAAAAAATGATTGATGGCAGCCTATTTGCTGATTGCATGCCAACAGCAACCATCTTGGTCTAGTACAAACATCTTATGCACAAACAAACAACTATTGTGCTCTGTACTGAGGCTACAAGCCCACAATGCAACATGCTTATATATCTCAGAGAAGCTCTGTTGCAATACATGTATGGTCTATATTTGACATAAGTATCACTTGTTCATGTGGACGAACACTGCATGTGTATGTTGTTATTTGTATCAAAACTACATAATTTTGTATTTCGGAAAGAGTCTTTTTCTGTCCAGCTGTTTTTGTAGTCATCAATCCGTCCTCCTGTGTCTGCTTGGCTCCAGGAGAAGAAAGGAGGCTGAATACCAGCAATCAATCAATTGATATGGCCTGAATGTTAATTTTTTTTGATTTTCAGTATTCTGCTAGATGCAAATGGTCACATAGCAATCACAGGTAAAGKACTTAACAATATACACCTACTTGCAGAAAYGTTGTCATAGAAAATARAACATTKGTATTTAGTTAAAAGGAATAAATTAAAACAAGACAAAAGAAAGCGTTCAGCCTCAGTGATCTTCTTTTGYCTTTTYAATGTATTCCTTTTTTACTAAATACTAAAGTCCTATTTTTTGAGACCCAACGTTTTCGCAAGTAGCTGTATGTATGTATTGACCATATTAGAACTAGAAAKATAGAAAGTTATAGTGCTGGGAAGAAGGTTATTCCAGGCAAAAGACCTCCTTTCCTGCAWTATAACTGTCTAGTAATTCTTGTATTTCTTAGCTCCATTTTGMCCACTTGTGATCATATCGTATCATATTGGTATCATAAAATCTAATTTTTGTTTCTTATTCACTAGATTTTGGTCTATCAAAGGAAAGTGAACAAGATCAAAAGACGTACTCTTTTTGTGGTACAGTAGAATATATGGCTCCAGAGGTAGTTAATCGTAGAGGGCATAGCCARGCTGCAGACTGGTGGTCGTATGGTGTTTTGATGGTAATTACAATAGAGTCTTTTTCCTATTAACTTGTATTAGAATCAAACATACAAGTTGCAATAAGCAGTGCGTCAATGTGGTTTGAGTAACCCTAGGCTAAAGTGAGGCTAACCACTCTGAGGCTACTGCATGCAGGCCTCAAATGAGCAAGAGTGCCAATAGGCTGTTTGCATTATGAAGTAACTTTACTACAACTACCAGAGAGCCTTGTGCATTTTCAATGTAATTCAGATTTTTAATCCCCTTGGAGATTAATAAAACAATTAGCATTAATTGCATTACAAAAGAAAGTTGGCAAAGTATTCTGGTAGTTGTAGTAATGAAGGTCATAATGCATTAATCGCCTATTTTGTCTGACATGTCAAAATCACGACCTTTTTTACCAGCAAAAAATATTTTAGTAACATGGCAAGAAAATAAACAAGTTCAAAAGGGACTATTTTTTGGTGGGTTGTTGCCTGACTCTGTCTCACTTTGGCTCAAAACCACAGGTCAGCCACACAACCACAAAAAACGATATTGAATCAAAACATGTATGTACATGTAAATACTTTAAATTCAAGGTGCTGATAGTTATCCTTTTTGTTAGTATGAAATGTTGACAGGTTCATTGCCATTCCAAGGAAAGGACAGAAAGGACACAATGACAATGATTCTGAAGTAGGTTCAAAATACTCTTTGTAAATGTTGTTTTTGTATAGTGCATTGTAATGTCAGCATTACTAGTATTGTTT